GAGCTTATATCTGACGCCCTTGAAGCAGATTTACACAGCAGAGAAAAAAACCTGGCCATTCCAGGGAGGTGTTCTTCAGGTGAAAGATTTGGCTCCAAGGAAGAACCTTTAATGGATTGTTGAGATCAAGACCAACGTCCAACTCAAATGACCATCAAGCCTTCCAGATGATTTGTGACTAGGATTCCCCCAACCCCCAACCCCCATTGCACTAACTGAGCTATCTGGCTGAATAGAAATTGGCTACCCATGTAATTTGCCCAAGCATCTTGAATTATATGGCTGTTAACTTGCAAATTCTGTTTTGCTACATGCTATCAAGTGGCTAATGAGCCTGACCATTCTTACATATTTATGGTGGCTGTCACCAATGTGCCTCTTGTGGCATTTTTAAGTATCTCTGCCTCACGTTTACTGCCATCAAATTTTAATAGAAGACCCCAAGTTCTGGTGTCTATGAAGAGGCTGCACTCCTTCACATCCTTCATCAAAGTTTATAGTTTTCCTCTGACACCCCTTCCATCTTTTTCCCTCTACACAAAAAAAGAAAAGGCTTTTTGGCTCTCTGTAAAGAAGGATGCGAAACATTCCTTCGTCATGGACACCCTTTATTGTCTACAGAGATACAAAGACTGAGCAGGTCAAACTATTTTCCAAAGCACCAATAGGCAAGAAGAGAAACAATGGATGGAAATTAAACAAGGAGAGAACCAATCTAGAACTAAGGAGAAATTTCCTAACGGTGAGAACAACTAACCAGTGGAACAGCTTGCCTTCAGAAGTTGTTGGTGCTCCCTCACTGCAGGCTTTCAAAAAGAGACTGGACAACCATTTGTCTGATGATATAGGGCAGTGTTTTTCAACCTTGGCAACTTTACGATGTGTGGACTTGAACTCCCAAAATTCTGGGAGTTGAAGTCCACACATCGTAAAGTTGCCAAGGTTGAGAAACACTGATATAGGGTCTCCTGCTCAAGCAGGGGGTTGGACTAGAAGACTAGAAGCAACCTGGAAATAAGGAGTAACTTCCTGACAGTCAGAACAATTAACCAGTGGAACAAGTTGCCTCCAGAAGTTGTGAATGCTCCAACATTGGAAGTTTTTAAGAAGAGACTGGGCAACCACTTGTCTGAAATGGTATAGGGTTTCCTGCCTGAGCAAGGGGCTGGACTAGAAGACCTCCAAGGTCCCTTCAAACTCTATTATTCTATTCTATTCTATTCTATTCTATTCTATTCTATCCCATAATTCTATTCTATTCTATCCCATAATTCTATTCTATCCCATAATTCTATTCTATTCTATTCTATGCCAATATTTTGACACTGACTGTCAGCAGTTTTCCAACATCTAATTATCCATCCAGGGAGATGGGTAGTGACTCATTGTCAGATGTACTCAGGCAGAGTCTGGACAGCTATCAGACCTCCGTGCTCCCTTCCAACTCTCTTATTCTACGTCAGGGGTAGGCAGCCTTAGCTCTTTTATGACGCGTGGACTTCAACTCCCAAAATTCCTGAGCCAGCCACGAATCATAAAAGAGCCAAGGTTGCCTATCCCTGTTCTATGTCCTGTGTCTTTTGCACAACTCTTTCTTGGCTTGGAAAGATCAGAGTCTGGATCTGTGTTCAGCCGTGGCTAGTCACAGGCCTTCTTGCATCCTAGTCTCAGAATCTTAAAATCTTAATGGTTCCATCCTTGCATCCCGAGGAGCCCAGTTTGATTCCATCCTCAGCCATGGAAGTTCCAGCAGCCCACCTGGGGGCCCTCCTGCACTCTCAGACAGCCTCTCCACAGAGCTATTGTGGTGGGGAAAACCAAAGGACAGAGAGCTGTGCTTGCTGCCTTGAACGCCTGCTAGAAAAGGATCACACAAACCAATCCGTCAAATAGTCACTAAATCTATCCCTTCCTTTTTCCGTAGGAATTTTTTAACATAGCCAATAAGGCTTCAAGCACATTTGGCCATTTCTGGCCGACAGTTGTCCTACAACTTTTACTTTGGCACTTGCAGCAAACACCTCCTGCAAAATATCCCTGGCGATTTATGATCCTGGCTGATCTTTTTAACAGCCTTCCTTCAGTCTTTAGTGCAGGTCCAAAAGGCAGAGCATCTATTTTTCCCATGTTGGTTGTAACAGAATGAGAACATGTTTTGCTCAAACCATTGCTTACAATTCCTGCAGTTAACTGTGATCTTGTTGAGTATGTACATATAGGGGTAGTCCTCAGGTTAAAACCACAATTGAAACCCAAACTTTATGTTGCTAAGTGACACATTTGTTAAGTGAATTTTGCCCCATTTTACAACCTTTCTAGCCACGGTTGTTAAGTGAATCACTGCAGGTGTTAAGTTAGTAACACCGCTGTTAAGTGAATCTGGCTTCCCCATTGACTTTGTTTGTCAGGTCACAAAAGAGGATCACGTGATTCCGGGACATTGCAACCGTCATAACTATGAGTCGGTTGCCAAATGTCTGAATTTTGATCACGCGACCACGGGGATCCTGCAATAGTCATAAGTGTGAAAAACAGTCATAAGTCACTTTTTTCAGTGCTCTTGTAACTTTGAAACGGTCAACTAAACCAGCTGTTGTAAGTCGAGGATTACCTGTACAACTTTAGATGGGGCCAGTTGGGGTCTTTAAGGGCCGCAGTGATTGTGCAGCCTCAGTTGTCTGTTCTCCAGCAGACATCACAATGCTGAAAGGCGTCGCCTGCCAGCTCACTACAAAAAAGGACTACTTGTAACTAGAAGTGGACCCCAAAAAGAATGACGAGAAACAGCGGTCTGACAGTTTGATAAGGATCAAAAGTTGTTGTTGTTAGTTGCGAAGTCGTGTCCGACACATCGCAACCCCATCAAGGACAACGTTCCTCCAGGCCTTCCTGTCCTCTACCATCTTCTGGAGTCCATTTAAGCTCATGCCTACTGCTTCAGTGACTCCATCCAGCCACCTCCTTCTCTGTTGTCCCCTTCTTCTATTGCCCTCCATCTTTCCCAGCATCAGGCTCTTCTCCAGTGAGTCCTTCCTTCTCATTAGGTGGCCAAAGTCCTTGAGTTTCAACTTCAGGATCTGGCCTTCTAAAAAGCAGTCAGGGTTGATCTCCTCTAGGACTGACCGGTTTGATCGCCTTGCAGTCCAGGGGACTCGCAGGAGTCTTCTCCAGCACCAGAGTTCAAAGGCCTCCATTCTTTGGCGCTCAGCCTTTCCTATGGTCCAACTTTCACAGCCATACATTGCAACTGGGAAAACCATGGCCTTGACTATACGCACTTGTCAAAAGTACTTGTCTTTTATTCCCACTGGAGTACAATTTTTAAAAAGAGAACCGCAGAGGTAGTGACAAGTCCAATGAAAGGGAAGTCGGTGGGTTCTGTCCCAAAGTTTGGTGGTCTTGGGTGGGGCTTTGCGTGGCTCGGAACAACATTTCACTTTTTAATGTTTTTCTTCAGAAAATGTGGGGATTTGTTTTAACTTATATAGATTTTTTTTATCGTTTATATTTCTTATTTGGCATCGATTGTTAACTAGGCTTGTTAATTGCCTGTGAAAATACACACTGCCGTTTTTGCAGTTCTTCACTGATCATTTTTTTAAATACAAGTAGACCTCAACTGATGATCACAGTGGAGGCCAAAATTTCGTTACTAAGTGAGACCTTTGTTAAGTGAATTTTGCCTCATTTTACCACCTTTCTTGGCACAGCTGAATCACTGCAGTTGTTAAGTTAGTAACATGGTTGTTAAGTGAATCTGGCTTCCCCATTGACTTTGCTTGCCAGAAGGTCGCAAAAGGGGGACACATGACTCCAGGACATGGCAACCGTCATAAGTACGAGTCAGTTGCTGAGCATCTGAATTTTGATCACGTGACCATGAGGCTGCTGCAACGGTCCTAAGTGTGAAAAACAATCATAAGTCACTTCTTTCAGTACCATTGTAACTTCAAACAGTCACTAAACAAACTGTTGTGTTGTAAGTCGAGGATTACTTGTAGGCACTTCAATTCTAATATTTTGTGAATGCCCCATGAAATCTTGATACATAATCAGGACTCTGCTGGACCATCCCTTCCTGGGAATCCGGAAAGCCTTTCTCGTCTGCCTCTAAAGCTGTGCTGTAAAGTTGGACCCTGGCTCTTGAATGTTTCTTTGCCCTGGTGCCTAAGCCATCCCTAGAAGCCGTTTGGTAGGATCTCAAGAGATTCAGAGCATTCAGGAATAGAATATAGAATATAGAATATAGAAAATAGAATAGAATAGAATAGAATAGAATAGAATAGAATAGAATAGAA